TTTATTTAAGAAATAAATGCTACTGTAACGCAACACCGAGGGAAAGTACTTATTATTACATAACATATATTCTAATTAAACATATTTAATGTGTACTAATTAAACATATTTAGTGTGCTTATTAAAACTGCATTGACTCTTGAATAAAATAAAATTTTGTACAGTATCAAAATTTACTCATGAGTACTCCTAATTATAACAGAATTACAACCTAAAACGAATCAAATAGAAGATAAAACCAAAATTTTCTTCACTGAGTGACGTTGTAGAGATTTTGAAGGATTTATTTAAGAAATAAATGCCATTGTAACGCAACACCGAGGGAAAGTACGCAAAATTTAGTACCCGCGACTGCCAACGCGCTAATGTGTAACGTTCAGCGGTAAGAACCCGGGCGGTTTCTCGCTCAAAGGCGTCATTAAACGCCAAATTTTCGTAAACGAATCACGTTCTGTGATGCACGGGGGCGTCTCCAAGCAGCATTCGGGGAAACTTTCCGCGAATATTCCAGCTCGTGTGCCCGAGCGGATTTCATAACCGTGTGTATCCGTTCCGCAGCAATGACCGTTTCACCGCACGCGACGAATGCGTCAGAAAGCATGGCCGCGCGCCGGTTCGCATGTTCCGCGCGCAACTTTCGCAAAGTTTAATTACTGGTTCTTCATGACGGTCGGTAGCCATGCGAATGAAGGTGGAGCCGGCGTTTTCGCGTTTAACCACGTTCGAGGGAACCCTCTGTTGATCGCTTAACCGTATAACCGGAAACCGCGAATTAAGAATTCCGTGCCTTTCGCGCGCGCCAGCTTCGATACTGTCGCGGTCTCCGCTCTCTTCGGGTGTTAATTCGACTGCTGGACAAGTCTGACTTTTCATTTTGAGAGAAGGAGGGATTGGAAAATACCGTTTTCGTTCCCGTGATTTTTAAAGATGAATTTTGTCCCGAACGATGGTCACGTTTTGGATTGAAAGATATTATTTCTATTATTACATGTTATTATTATCTTATTACATGTGTTTCTATTATTTAGCTTTCTACTTTGAATGTACAGAAACACTAATTATCAACGATTTCAATCATTTGAATTCGATATTTATTGCTTTATAATTCAAAGAATAACGCGTCAATCTAAACTGTTCCGTTTCTTCTGGCGAATAGAAATTATTTACTGCCGTTTGCAATGCTAGCAAGAAGTTATTTTATTCAGAGTTTCATAAAAATTATTTTTTTTTTTCTACTTTTCACAGTAGACATACTTTGCGTTATTGCGGCGATTATGAAAACGTTGGAAGGACTGTTCTTATCTTTCGGAACAAGGAGACATCTTTCTTCGTCCAAGTGTAAACGTCACGTGCTCAGTGAGAAAGATGGAAAACTATAAGCGAAATCACGTATACCGATTTACTTAGTCGCTTGCAACACGGTTTTACGATCAAAGTCGTATTTCTCGCGAGTATCTGAGAATTCTGAGAGTGCCGACGCTTGATGAACGTGTCGCGCCATGTGTTCCATGAATATTAATTAACGAGGCAATAATAAAGAACTTGACGCATACTTCTTCAACGTACATTAATTTACTCAAGCGAGATGAAGTTTATAAAGAGAGGGGTTGAAAGTCGAGTCTCTTAATATTACACGTCGAGAGAAATTTTAAGAATACGGGAGAAGGATTAATTTAGAATTAGCTGAGCTTCCAATTGATCCACAGTTAGAGGTTTTATAATTTTCATTGGTCTCATTAACAATTAATAAATATGAAAAACCCTAAAATTGTTTGGGTTAACTCGTGAACCTGTCAATTGAAATAGAGCCGACCGTAAAGTTCTATTTAATTTTAACAATATAGCAATTAATTGTTGCAAAAGAATCAGTAATTTTCTTCTCTTCTCTTTTGTAACCTTCTTCCACTACGGAATTTTTAAAAAAAACATGTAACATGTGTTTGTTAAAAAAAAAAATAGACTTGGTATTATCGTTCCTTTAGTATGAGAAAATTATTTCAAAAATAAAAGGGGCCAATACTCCACTGTAAAGTTCTGAACTTTCACACACAATCGAGCGTCTCGCAACTTCGAAACGAAACGAGACCTAATAAAACGATTGGCCTAAAAACCAGCCGAAAAAACTTACGGCCACGGAACAAACACAAATGAGAAGAAAAAAGCAGAATCAAATGATCCGCTTCTACCATTATTTCTATCAAGTATCGTGCTATTTTTCTCTCCCTTAACAGACCTTACGTAACTTTAAAAACCGATAGAATTCCGCTGCTTTCACTTCTCCACCATTCGCCAGCCACTTACTCTATTTTATTATGTCTTCCACTTCGTTGTACTTCTACACTCTGTTTTCCCTCGAACACGAAACGTAGAGATCGTTAAATACACGCCGGACAGATCAGATTCGCGTTCTTTTTCACCCTCATTCGTCTTCCTCCACCCTCCTTCCCCCTTTTATTAATTATTTAATAACGCATTTAATAAAGTATTTAGATTGTCGTGAACTGAAGCAACTCAATTGCAGCGTTATTAAATAATTAATAAAAAAAGAAAAAGATTGACTGACATGGAGGTGAAACGTTTTCTTCGCTTCTTTACTTTTCACTCTTCACGCCTCATTTCCTCTGCTCTTAGTCTCTCCTTTATTTCTCTTTCTCCTCGCGCCGAGACTTAAATCTCGTCAGCGCCAACTCTCTCTCTCTCTCTCTCTCTCTTTCTCTCGTCTTACTACCGAGACCCGTGTTCCCGATTGTTCTGGGACCTCGAGGTATCGCCGCTTTGTCGCGTTTTAAACGAACGAGTCGCGATCGAGTGTAAAGCGATCGCGTCTGAATACTCGGAGTGGAACTCGGAGTCGTCTCGAGTCGCGATCGATTTGGTTTGATTTCGCCTTCGTGCCACAAACGTGTCTCGTTTGGTGATTGAAGGAACAGAGAATTCCACGTGGCGCAGTGAGCAATTGTTTCTAATATTTGCCAGGCAGTGGAAACGGGATTTCAAACCACTGAAAAATGTTGGATTCGTTTGTGAGAATTGGACATGGCTCGTTAGGGAAGCAAGCAACAGTCAGCTCGTTAGGATTTTTTTTTCGTGCGACTTCGAAGCAAAATCCAAAGATGCGAAAACGCATGAAATGCTGAGAGAAATGAATTATAAATTATGAATACGATATATTGTACAAGAAAGATAGTGTACTTCTTCTTAAAGTTTTTATAGTAGATAAAAAACGAATCTCTGTTAATCGAATTTCAATTCGTTCGATTACATACAAGTTTTGATTTATAGAAATGTGAATTTAAGTATTAATTCATAGAGATATGAATCTCCATAAAAATCTGTACCGTGTTCGACACTAATATTGCAAACACTTCAATTTCTTGAAACTTTACAAAGTTATCGCAATCTGTATAAACACGAGCAATTATTATTATTATAAACAAAACATTAAGTTTATTATATAAACAAATATATTATATTATATATATATATTATATAATATACTTATAATAATAAACATAGTTTATTATTAATACGTTTATATAATAAACATAGTTTATTATATAAATAAAACATTAAGAAATATAATTTGACAACGAAGAATAATTTAGAAAAAAAGGAAAGAAATAGCAACTCCGAAAGAACCCTTTAATTTATCAATGACAAACGATATAAATAATAAATAATAGATTTGTCATATATAAATAATAAATAATAGATTTATCATTAATAGATAATTAAATAAATTGATTTATCATTAATTAATATGAAATTTCCATAGATGAAACAAAAAAAAAAAAAAAGAAAAATAGGAAAATATTAAACGAACTCTCAGAATTTCCCTCCGGCAACTCCAACGTTAATTCCACGGTAATAAATCGACCGAGAGGAATTGTCGGTAATAGCATTAAACTGAGGGGGGTTAAACATTTTAAGGGCGAGGAGAAACGACTGACCGGATCATTAAGCGCAACTGCTGTCGATCGAATAGTTGGAAGGTTATTCGTAGATGCGGAAAAGTAAAATTCTTGGAGCGCCCGAGATTGTTCGCGGGAGACGGTTCGATGATATTTACTCGGGCGAGCCGAGTGAAATATCGCAGTTTGTGGATCGCGGAACGCGAAGAATTTATCGATACGCGGCTACTAATTTCCGTGCATAAACCACGTTAATTTTACGCGAGTATTCACTCAATTTCTGTAACAACTTATTAATCTTCAGTTTCCGATGGATCTCTCGTTTCACCGGCATCCTTCAGCGGCGGCGGTGATTAATATCGCAAATTTGGACGTGTTTCTTCAAAAATAAATCGAACAACTTACATTCGCTCTTTCGTTGGCTTTTTAATTTCATTGTACGACGCTTCGTCGTGAGATATTCATTTTCTGTTGACTGAAAAGTGTCGTGCGAATTATAGAATCGCAGGAAATTCAATCTAAATTACATCTTCTTGAGATTGTGATAATTTATAAGTTGTAAAATCTTTTGCAACGTATAATAAAAAAAAGTCAACATAAATTAAAAAAAAGAAAAGTATATTTGAAACAAAACGAAAGAGCAATACTTTTTTATATGCCAGATTTGAAAGTTTTCTCACAGCAAATTTCCCGGTGAAAATAATTCTAATTTTCATCAATAAGATTACCAAAGATTTTTATACATTTTAATACGTATCACAGACGTAACAGTAATAGTAAAAATGTAGCAATAGTAAATGGAAATTCACATCATCTGTTATAAAATATTCCACACGTGTGTTTCGAATTTCTTATACGTCCAAATGGATGAAAATCCACAGTAATTAGAGTAGGATATTTAACGTAACACCAAACACATTCCCTTTAGTTTCGTTTCGTTCAGAAATTTACGCGATTACATCTCCCTTATGAAGAGAAGATCCTTTCGTCGCGCCACGAAATAGATGTAAAGAGAAAAAAAAAAAAAAAAAAAATAGAAAAACAAAATGGGCAACTATAACAATCGGGCACAGATACAATTTCACCAAGATGCTCGCCCTGGTAGGTAAGCCACGGACATCTGTCTTGCATGGCTGGCGGCTGGTAATGGGATTTTTACGGACGCGTCAGTCTTGTACAGAAAGGGAAGCGCGAAAAATGCGAGCGCCGCGGCGCGTTTCAACTAAATTGCACTCTCGTTCCATGAATCATTCCGCGATCGTTGATTTATCAGCTGCGCGCCGCCGTCGTTTCCTAACAACACTATTTGCTGCCGCGTGAATCACGCGAACGCTTTATTAAACCGTTATTAAAATATACGTGGACCTGATTTATCGTTTCCTTCGCGAAAAGAGACTCGTGTTCGTCTTCAACAGCGGGTTAAACAGCTCGTCGCTTTCTTAACAGACGACGCCGATTACACCGGTGAACAAAAAGAAAAAAAAATTCATCAAATTCACTGTAAAATCGGTTTGATTTCGCTGAATTGACTCTGATTTGCAAAATAATCGAAATCGGTCAAGTTTGGCCTATTCTTAAATTGTGATTATCTTCCGAGTGATTGAAACCTGCTTCACTTGACAAAACTTGACGAACGTCGCGCGAATAAGAGAAAACGAAATGCTCCAAGCGAAAGGATCGAGTTTCCCGGCTTGAAATTGCCTCGAAAACAGGGCTCGAAATCTCGAGAAACTGAATTGAAAGTTCATTGAAACATCTTGTGGAAACTCATCAGAGTATTCATGAATTTGTTGCAGAGGAAATAATAGCTAATCTGCCACCGCTTCGGATCCCTCGGCTGAGGCACCATCGAGTGACAGATTGGGACCCGTACTTCGAAAATGCCGAGGGCCAGGGAATCAACGGCTCGCAGAACGTAGCGTTGCACCTTGGTGCGACTGCTCTTCTCGACTGTCGCGTCGCAATGCTCTCCGGGAAGAAGGTATTCGTATAATGCTCTCCCATCGAACAGACAGTCCACGACTCTGTAGAATTTTCATCGAGACACTTGCGATTCACCATTGTTACGAAACAAGCGTTCCAAAACACTGAAAATGAATGACGAAACAGAAAAATAGATAATCCTCAATCGAACGGATTGAATCAATCAATGAAACTGGGAGTTCAATTCAAAGGATTTCGTTCTATTCTAATTGATGCCAATTGAAAAGAAGTTAATCGTTGAAATTCTAGAAGTAATTCTTTCCACTCGAAAATAAATAATTCATAAATGTTCGTTGAAAATATATCGCGCGCAAAAGCTATGTATCTAAATCGACAATATTAATGACAATTTTAATCGCCAAATTCCGAACAATTCCAAGACCAATTCCGACAACCTAACGACAAACGCAAGTTGACGATCGTTCCGATCGTTGGGAAATGTTTGCCTACACACAGAACCGGACCGAACCGAATCACCGGTGTTTCACTTTGATGTTAACTCGATCAAAATCCTCGAGTGTGTTCTAACCGAAACGCAGGTTCTCACGCAGAGTCACGCGCAACTGTAGAATCTGTGTCACAATTTATAGGTCATGTGGTTACGCCGCAACGCCGACTGGGCATCACTTTTAACCCTGGGTAATACCACTCACATTTCCGATCCCAGGTACAGCGTTAGCTTCCAGTATCCGAACAACTGGCGGCTGGCGATCGCCGGCGTACGCAGGGAGGATCGCGGATTGTACGTCTGCCAGGTCAACACGCACCCCCCGAGAATGCTCGTCACCAACGTCACCGTTCTAGGTAATATTTGCCCTTCTCTCAATTACGTAGTGAAAAAAAAAAAAAAAAAATACAGTAGAATCACATATAGTCACCAGTTAAGCGTCCACAGTTCGTTTCGTGGCCGAAAACGGACGATTAAGCGGGGAGGTAAAAAGATAGTTCAAATGTCAGACAATCTTCACAACACAACAGGGTGCAACACAAGATTTGTCACTTGTGTATTTTACGAAAAATCGTTCAAGTCTTCAAGATACACTGTTTTATATTTATGAAATATTTAATAAAAATATTTCAATGGTCATTTTGACCATATTGGTAATTCTAGTGTCAAGAGAGTTCTGCAAAGAGCGAAACAAATGGTAGTTTGATGATGCAAGATCAGGACTAGACGATTTTCAGCCAAGTTCTCTGACGACTTCTTACTTATAATTTTGACAAATAAGTAATTTACTAGATGTGTATCAGAAGCCAAGAAAGTCGGAGTTGTGAGAAAAAGTTGCTGTGCAAAGGGTCAATCTCAAATTCAGTGACAAGTAAATTTTGAAGATCAAGCTGAAATAATCGTATTAACATTTTAAATTAACATTTAAAAATAATAATATCCAAATTGGAAATTTATTTGAATTAGATTGAAGTAACAAAATACAATAAAATATTAAATATTTGTGTTTGACCGGCAGCAAAAATCATCGAGGAAGATTGAATTCGACGAGTTAACAATATATGAAACATTAATACCTTTGACCACGGTGAAACATCCAAGAAAATTAATTTCACAATTTGAAGAAATATCACGTAAAATAAATATTCGTACGAAATATGAAACACAGTTAGTGCAGCTAGTGAACTTTTGTCTGAAATGAATTTCTGAAATAATCATCGTTGATAGTTCTGAATGTCCGCAACGTCAATAGACGTTTTATTCCAATCGCTTGAATAAATAGCACAGGGACTGTCAAAGCGCGGAATTTTACATCTCAATGATTTATCAAGACGATTTCATGCATAAATTTCCCGTGAAAAGGCGACGAGATCTGAAGGATCTTAAATTACTGAAACACGGGAAAGACAAGCCAATCTACGTCGAACCTAAGACCTTCAGAATCCCAAGATTGCTGGAAATTTAGGAAGATTGGACAGACCAGGATACTTTGAATCTTCTGAGGTTCTCGAATTCTTGAAATTCTGGGATCAATGGTGTTGACGAGCCTCGAAGTTGGATTTCTATCGTTCCGCGTGATATTTAACTTACGAATTGCTTTTCGAATTGCGACTTGTGACGGAAGTGATTACGAATATTTATTTTTTTTTAATGGGAAATTTAACAGAAAACATAGGTTATATACATATATATATATAACAACAATACACAACGCTATAAAAAAATAAAGACTGCAAAACGTCGCGGAAAACGTATTTTGAACGTTTCAAATATTATATAAATATTTAAAATATTTCTTTTCCGATTCAGTGAATGGGAACAAATCTCTGTTAAAAATTTATATTCGCATCCGTAGTTCCATCACGAGCATAATATCCTGCATAACGTTTCCAATGAAGTTTCCTAAGTCTAATGTTACCGATGTCAAATCCCACAAGTTTCGCGCAAGTAAATCACATTGTGCTTGTCCATAGGTATTAGTTGTAGCAAGTTTAGATCCACTTTTATCATATCCCATGTGCCCCGAACCAAATACCCAAAGTTTTACCATTATGTGTAATGCCTTGAGCTCTTTTGTGAGATAACTTAACAACGTTTCAAACACCCAAGTTCCCCTGTACACGTGGATTGTTCGTTGAAGTTTCTGTAACGCGACGAATATTACTTTTAAAATTGCGTAAATTTTTGTTACGTTTATCTTTTTATATATCATATATTAATTTACTATTGTATCGGTCCAGCGCGAAAAACTATCAATCAAAATTTTTAATCGTCGATGCTGATAGCAACTACTATCGACAATTACACCGTTCGCGAGAGGAGAATTAATATTACAACGATCTACAACGAAAGGTAATCGAAAAGTAATTAAAGCGTAGTGCTTGCAAATTCCGCTCATCCATCTATGTCCTCCGAGTTTAATGAGCTTCTTCCTGTCCAATGTCATTATGCGGCAAACAACGCTTATGAACATCGTCGAATTAAAAGGATGTACAGCGAAGAGGTCCCGGGTCTTTTGTGAATCGTAACAAACGTCGATGAAAACATTAAAAAATGTTTTTTTCGTGAATGGATCTACGACAGTCTTGAAGATTGAAGTTCTCTCTTTAAAACCAACCCTTCGAACATGCTGTACAAATTTTTCTCCATCGCTTTATTGAACTTTGAACATCAGAATTGAACGACAAAGTTTCAAGAAATCTCAACGTTTGGGTCGTGCAATGCCAATGTTCAAAGTATGACAGAATGATGCAAAAAGATCGTAGAGCAAGTTTCGTGAGAGTTCATTGTAGAGAAAGAATTTTCATCGTTTTCAGGAACAGAGAAGCCTGAATCTCGACAATTTTATTTTAACAAAAATCTTCCATTGCCATTCATTGCTTGATGTAAAAATATCTTTGAACGAAATGAAGCTTCCCGCTTTAAAATGAGATTTCAGATGTTTCCTTTTTCGAGTGTCGATAATTTCTTCGCTGTGTATTAACGACGAAAACAAGTTTCATCAAAGTTATTCTAATTTGCACACAGAGAAGCGTGGCGGTCTCAGACAAGGGGGTGAATTCGTGTAATTTCAGAGTGGCGCCTTGGCTTCGTTGTTAATAATATTGATCGGGAAGCAGCCGGCAGTACAATTATCTGTCGCGGAGAGTTCGCTGAAAGTGGGGTTGTTTAATGAATGAGTTGCTATTGAACTTGATGCACTTTGCTTGTCTCGGGGATAAATAGGAAACTAACAAGCTTCGAGGCGCAGCTAGCTTGTTGGTTAATTAGACGGACCTTTCGACAACTTGCCATCCACCCCGTAGGAGAAAGACGAAATGTTTCAACACGTTGACCGTGGATATTCACGCGAGTTTGTATTTTCGTGATATATATAAAAAAAAAAGATATAAAAGTTCGAGATATAAAAAAAAAAAAAAAAAATAAAACTGCTCCGTAGATTAAACTCTACCAAAGAGGCTACGTTTTACAAATTTTTCAAGATTGCATATTACTATTATTAGATTGTCCAGATTCAAAGTTCGATTCAGAGAATTAGAATTTAATTCATACTCGATTTTACTAGATTGCAATTAATTTCATTGCTGCGTAATTATCGCTGGCCTCACTTTGTAAATCAGATTGAACTGTTCAGTTGGACATGAATAATCCGTTTATAATATTATAATAATTAGCGTGCATATTGTGTTACGTATCTATGTCATGTAACATTATACGATTATACAATACAATGAACGTAATTCCCTTAGGTCGCGCTGTTGCCGAAACACCATCGACGGTGTTATTTTTAACGAATCCCGAATGTTACGAGCACTCACGAGGCGAAAGATTAATCCGCCTTGTTTTAGTACACGGCGCCTATTCCGGCGCAAATACTGGAAACAGCCACTCCTCCGAGCAATAATCCCCCAAATCTCTTCGAGTGCCATCGTGCACGCGTGCAAACAGCTCACGATAACGCGCTATTACCCTCTAAAACAAATGCAAATGAACTTCCCGCGGATTCCACCGAGATGCTCGAGTCCAAGCGATCGTACCTTCGAGCGATTCGATAAATCATCCGTTTGTTCCCTCGCGGATCGACCATCTTCTTTGGTGAACAAAGTGTCGCGAATATTCGCAGATTAAATCAAACCCAAACCTACCTACGCTTCGTGTGTACGATTCGATTCCGTCGGTTTGGAAAAATTTCGTCGGCTGGAGGAAATTGAAGCTCGATCCACGTGTGCCCGATTTCAATATTTATCGGAGGCAGACATTCGCGAATAAGCTTCACGCTGAAGCGAATTCACCAAATTTGGGAAGGTCGCGCACCCGAAGTTCCACGGCAGTAAATTTCTCCTCCGACCGATCACTCTGTAACGAGACGGGACGGGGGCTGTCCGAAAAACGCTTAATTATGCAGACGGCGCGCAAAGTCGAAATTCGCGAGCGAGCGAAATTTGCCATCGAGGGAGATCTCGGTGGAGTATCGCGTAGCTAATCAAGTCGCGCGGAGGCAGTCCCAAACGACAGTTGTACGAGAAAGTTTCGGATGTTCAGATTTTCTGCGAGACGCCTCGAGCCGCCTCGAGCATCAGCCACCTCCGAGAGGAAGCGGAGAAGTGGAACACGCGCGCGTTGACGTATTTATACAAGAATTTGCAATTCCCCGGGCTGCTAGATTGCGCATTTCCTTTACCCCTCTTTGTTTCGGCTCGTTCCGTCTGATTCTTTCTCAAATTGACAGCACCGATCGTAGTTCTTCTTCTTTCCGCCCATCGTCCGGCGTATCACGTTCTTATCATACCTTTTGTCCCAAGTGACGATCGTGTGTTAGCATTAGTGCGTAAAATACTGTGAGTTCCCAAAATTTCAACTTTGACTTGCAGTGGATTTAAGGGAAGATCTTAAGTTCGAGTCGCTCGGAACGATGAAATGAAAATTTCACTGTACAGGATTCGCTCGAGTCACTCCAAGTGACAAATCGTTTCGAGTAATTGGATCAGTCACGTGTGTTAGCGAGAATTTGAAAGATCGTCAAATACACGAGACAACGATTCGTGGATCATCTATGGATCTGTCGTTCGAATAACAAACAGATCCAATTAATCTCTCCCTTCGTCGCACACGTTTTATTTCATACCAAGCTTCAACGAAAACGAAGAAAAAAGAAGCAAAGGAGAAGCGATCAAATTGTCAACGAGCCATCGCTAATCACTTTAAAGCTACACCTACGTGAACGACACTGCTCCCGGATCGGCCTGCTACTCGCGACTCGCGCGCTTTATTATGAAAATTTTTCCATGCGTAAAGCCAGCAAAGGGCGATCGATAGAGCTGGTTAAACAGGGTTAAAACGTTCCGCGTTCCACGGA